GCTGTGCAAAAGCTTTGAAGTTTCATTAGTTCCCACTTGTTTACTTTTGTTTTTATTTCCATTACTCTAGGAGGTGGATTAAAAAAGATCTTGGGCTTCCCTGGTGGCGCAGTGGTTGAGAGTCCGCCTGCCGATGCAGGGGACCCGGGTTCGTGCCCCGGTCTGGGAAGATCCCACATGCCGCAGAGCGGCTGGGCCCGTGAGCCATGGCCGCTGAGCCTGCGCGTCCGGAGCCTGTGCTCCGCAATGGGAGAGGCCACAAAAAGTGAGAAGCCCGCATACCGCAAAAAAAAAAAAAAAAGATCTTGCTGTGGTTTATGTCAAAGAGTGTTCTTCCTATGTTTTCCTCTAAGAGTTTTATAGTTTCTGGTCTTACATTTAGGTCTCTAATCCATTTTGAGTTTATTTTTGTGTATGGTGTTAGGGAGTGTTCTAATTTCATTCTTTTACATGTAGCTGTCCAGTTTTCCCAACACCACTTATTGAAGAGACTGTCTTTTCTCCATTGTATATCCTTGCCTCCTTTGTCATAGACTGGTTGACCATAGTTGTGTGGATTTATCTCTGGGCTTTTTATCTTCTTCCATTGATCTATATTTTTCGTTTTGTGCCAGTACCATATTGTCTTGTTGATTATAGCTTTGTAGTATAGTCTGAAGTCAGGGAGTCTGATTCCTCCTGTTTCTTTTTTTTTCCCTCAAGACTGCTTTGGCTATTTGGGGTCTTTTGTGTCTCCATACAAATTTTAAGATTTTTTGTTCTAGTTCTGTTAAAAGTGCCTTTCGTAATTTGATAGGGACTGCATTGAGTCTGTAGATTGCTTTGGGTAGGTTAGTCATTTTCACAATATTGATTCTTCCAATCCAAGAACATGGTATATCTCTCCATCTGTTGGTATCATCTTTAATTTCTTTCATCAGTGTCTTTTAATTTAATGCATACCGGTCTTTTGTGTCCCTAGGTAGGTTTATTCCTAGGCATTTTATTCTTTTTCTTGCAGTGGTAAATGGGATTGTTTCCTTAATTTCTCTTTCAGATTTTTCATCATTAGTATGGAGGAATGCAAAGATTTCTGTGCATTAATTTTGTATCCTGCAACTTTACCAAATTCACTGATTAGCTCTAGTAGTTTTCTGGTGGCACCTTTAGGATTTTCTATGTATATTATCATGTCCTCTGAAGAGACTGAAAATTTTACTTCTACTTTTCCAATTTGTATTCCTTTTATTTCTTTTTCTTCTCTGATTGCTGTGGCTAGGACTTCCAAAACTATGTTGAATAGTAGTGGTGAGAGTGGACATCCTTGTCTTGTTCCTGATCTTAGAGGAGATGGTTTCAGTTTTTCACCATTGAGAATGATGTTTGCTGTGGGTTTGTCGTATATGGCCTTTATTATGTTGAGGTAGGTTCCCTCTATGCCCACACTCTGGAAAGTTTTGATCATAAATGGGTGTTGAATTTTGTCAAAAGCTTTTTCTGCATCTACTGAGATGATCATATGGTTTTTCTTCTTCAATTTGTTAATATGGTGTATCACATTGATTGATTTGCGTATATTGAAGAATCCCTGCATCCCTGGGGTAAATCCCACTTGAACATGGTGTATGATCCTTTTAATATGTTGTTGGATTCTGTTTGCTAGTATTTTGTTGAGGAATTTTGCATCTATATTCATCAGTTATATTGGTCTGTAAGTTTCCTTTTTTGTAGTATCTTTGGTTTTGCTATCAGGGTGATAGTGGGCTCATAGAATGAGATTGGGAATGTTTCTTCCTCTGCAATTTTTTGGATGAGTTTTGAGAAGGATGGGTGTTAGCTCTTCTCTAAATGTTTGATAGAATTCAGCTGTGAAGCCATCTGGTCCTAGTCTTTTGTTTGCGGGAAGATTTTTAATCACGGTTTCAATTTCATTACTTGTGATTGGTCTGTTCATATTTTCTATGTCTTCCTGGTTCACTCTTGGAAGGTTATACATTTCTAAGAATTTGTCCATTTCTTCCAGGTTGTCCATTTTATTGGCATAGAGTTGCTTATAGTAGTCTCTTAGGATCCTTTGTATTTCTGCAGTGTCTGTTGTAACTTCTCCTTTTTCATTTCTAATTTTATTGATTTGAGCCCTCTCCCTCTTTTTGTTGATGAGTCTGGCTAATGGTTTATCAATTTTGTTTATCTTCTCAAAGAAACAGCTTTTAGTTTTATTGATCTTTGCTATTATTTTCTCTGTTTCTATTTTATTTATTTCTACTCTGATCTTTATGATTTCTTTCCTTCTGCTAACTTTGGGTTTTGTTTGTTCTTCTTTCTCTAGTTCCTTTGGGTGTAAAATTAGATTGTTTATTTGAGATTTTTCTTGTTTCTTGAGGTAGCCTTGTATAGCTGTAAACTTCCCTCTTAGAACTGCTTTTGCTGCATCCCATAGGTTTTGGATCATCATGTTTGCATTGTCATTTGTCTCTATGTATTTTTTGATTCCCTGTTTGATTTCTTCAGTGATCTCTTGGTTATTTAGTAACGTATTGTTTAGCCTCCATGTGTTTGTGTTTTTTACGTTATTTTCCCTGTAATTCATTTCTAATCTCATAGTGTTCTTGTCAGAAAAGATGCTTGATATGACTTCAGTTTTCTTAAATTTACTGAGGCTTGATTTGTGACCCAAGACGTGATTTATCCTGGAGAACATTCCGTGCGCACTTGAGAAGAAAGTGTAATCTGCTGTTTTAGGATGGAATGTCTTATAAATATCAATTAAATCTATCTGGTCTATTGTGTCATTTAAAACTTGTGTTTCCGTATTAATTTTCTGTTTGGATCATCTGTCAATTGGTGTGCATGAGGTGTTAAAAGTCCCCCACTATTACTGTGTTACTATCGTTTTCCTCTTTTATAGCTGTTAGCAGTTGCCTTATGTATTGAAGTGCTCCTATGTTGGGTGCATATATATTTATAATTGTTGTATCTTCTTCTTGGATTGGTCCCTTGATCATTATGTAGTGTCCTTCCTTGTCTCTTGTTACCTTCTTTATTTTAAAGTCTATTTTATCTGAAATGAGTATTGCTACTCTAGCTTTCTTTCGATTTCCATTTGTATGGAATATCTTTTTCCATTCCTTCACTTTCAGTCTGTATGTGTCCCTAGGTCTGAAGTGGGTCTCTTGTAGACAGCATATATATGGGTCTTGTTTTTGTATCCATTCAGCAAGCCTGTGTCTTTTGGTTGGAGCATTTAACCCATTCAAGTTTAAGGTAATTATTGATATGTATGTTCCTATTACTATTTTCTTAACTGTTTTGGGTTTGTTTTTGTAGGTCCTTTTCTTCTCTTGTGTTTCCCACTTACAGAAGTTCCTTTAGCATTTGTTGTAGAGCTGGTTTGGTGGTGCTGAATTCTCCTAGATTTTGCTTGTCTGTAAAGCTTTTGATTTCTCTATCAAATCTGAATGAAATCCTTGCAGGGTAGAGTAATCTTGGTTGTAGGTTCTTCCCTTTCATCACTTTAAGTATATCATGCCACTCCCTTCTGGCTTGTGGAGTTTCTGCTGAGAAATCAGCTGTTAACCTCATGGGAGTTCCCTTGTATGTTATTTGTCGTTTTTCCCTTGCTGCTTTCAATAATGTTTCTTTGTCTTTAATTTTTGCCAATTTGATTACTATGTGTCTTGGCGTATTTTTCCTTGGGTTTATCCTGTAAGGACTCTCTGTGCTTCCTGGACTTGGGTGCCGATTTCCTTTCCCATGTTAGGGAAGTTTTTGACTACAGTCTCTTCAAATATTTTCTTGGGTCCTTTCTCTCTCTCTTCTCCTTCTGGGACCCCTATAATGCGAATGTTGTTGAATTTAATGTTATCCTAGAGGTCCCTTAGGCTATCTTCATTTCTTTTCTTTCTTTTTTCTTTGTTCTGTTCCACAGCTGTGATTTCCACCATTCTGTCTTCCAGGTCACTTATCTGGTCTTCTGCCTCAGTTATTCTGCTATTGATTCCTTCTAGTGTATTTTTCATTTCAGTTATTGTATTGTTATCTCTTTTTGTTTGTTTTTTAATTCTTCTAGGTCTTTGTTAAACATTTCTTGCATCTTCTCGATCTTTGCCTCCATTCTTTTTCTGAGGTCCTGGATCATCTTCACTATCATTATTCTGAATTCTTTTTCTGGAAGATTGCCTATCTCCACTTCATTTAGTTGTTTTTCTGGGGTTTCATCTTGTTCCTTCATGTGGTACATAGCCCTCTGCCTTTTCACCTTGTCTATCTTTCTGTGAATATGGTTTTTGTTCCACAGGCTGCAGGATTGTAGTTCTTCTTGCTTCTGCTGTCTGCCCTCTTGTAGATGAGGCTATCTATGAGGCTTGTGCAGGTTTCCTGATGGGAGGGACTGGTGGTGGGTAGAGCTGGCTGTTGCTCTGGTGGGCAGAGCTCAGTAAAACTTTAATCCAGTTGACTGGTGATGGTTGGGTCTGGGTCCCCTCCCTGTTGGTTGTTTGGCCTGAGGCGACCCAACACTGGAGCCTACCCAGGCTCTTTGGTGGGGCTAATGGCTGACTCTGGGAGGGCTCACGCCAAGGAGTACTTCCCAGAACTTCTGCTGCCAGTGTCCTTGTCCTCACAGTGAGACAGAGCCACCTCTCACCTCTGCAGGAGATCCTCCAACACTAGCAGGTAGGTCTGATTCAGTCTCCTATGGGGTCGCTGCTCCTTTCTCTGGGTCCCGATGCACACACTACTTTGTGTGTGCCCTCCAAGTGTGGAGATTCTGTTTCCCCTAATCCTGTCGAAGTCCTGCAGTCTAATCCCACTAGCCTTCAAAGTCTTATTCTCTTGGAATTCTTCCTCCTGGTGCCAGCCCCCCAGGTTGGGATGCCTGACATGGGGCTCAGAACCTTCACTCCAGTGGGTGGACTTCTGTGTTATATGTGTTCTCCAGTTTATGAGTCACCCATCCAGCGACTGTGCCCCTCCTACCGTGTAATTGTGCCTTCTCCTTTGTCTTTGGATGTGTGGTATCTTTCTTGGTGAGTTCCAGTGTCTTCCTGTTGATGATTGTTCAGCAGGTAGCTGTGATTCCTGTGTTCTCACATGAGCGAGTGAGAGCATGTCCTTCTTCTCCACCATCTTTAACCAATCTCACAGTTCCCCTTTTAATTGGCCCTTTCCTCTGTCATTCTGCTTCTAGAATACTAAGACCACTCTGATGTGTCATTAGCCAAGAACATTTTCTCTGTTAAAGCCTTGTCAACTAACACTTCAAAGCAAGAGTTTAAGGCATTAATATTTTCAGGAGTAATTGCATTTTATTAGGGGGATGTTTGAAAAGGAATAAATCTTTATAACTCAAAGTAGCAATGTATAATGGAGGGGATTTTAGGTGATGACCTATAAGTGCTATTTGGAAAGTTCTTTTTAAGGTGTATATTTGGAAAAATACTTTCTTTTCACAGCTTATCACAGCAGATAAGTCGATGCCAACTTAATTGAACCAATCTCTCCCTTCTCTGAATTAAGGCTTCTTCATATAATCTGCCTCTGCCTATTATTTTCTTAAAATCTGTGATGATCCAAAAGCTGAATCCAATGGGTACTTGTTAGCACCCATCCAATTTGACACCTCCTTGCTAATCTTTCCCTTATGAAACTGCCTTTCCTTGGTTTCAACGTGTTCTTCTCTTGATTCCCTTTCCCCATCTCCCAATACTTCTTTTTTTCCATTTTCTCGAGCTTTTTCTCTTCTTCTCACACAGTATTGTTGATACTTCTCATATATAAGCAAGCCTCTTTTGTATTAGTTATGGAGTTTCTCCTTTTTATTTCCTCCACTCTTTTGTCTTTAGCTATTATCTCAATGCCTACCACTCCCTCATTATCTCCTACTTGAATCTTCTCTTGCATTTTCTATCTCAGTTAGTGACATCACCATTTATTCAACAACCTTCCACTCCTAAACCTGCCTGATAACTCATTTATCCTTGAACTCTCACTTCCACATCCAGTTGACTGGATGTTGCTGGTTCTCCTAAAATTAATTCAACAACTTCTCTCAATCCTCATTTCTTTCCCCTGCCCCCAAGGGCCACATTTATTTTTTATTGGAGTATAATTGCTTTACAGTGTTGTGTTAATTTCTGCCACACAGCGAAGTGAATGAGCCATATGCATACACACATCCCCTCCCTCTTGGACCTCCCCCCCATTCCACCCAACTAGGCCAACACAGAGCACTGCACTGAGCTCCGTGTGCTATACAGCAGGTTCCCACTAGCTATCTCTTTTACACATGGTAGTGTACTTTTGTCAAACCTAATCTCCCAATTCATCCCACCCTCCCATTTCCCCACTGTTTCCACACGTTATCTTTTAGTTTAAACCTTCACCTCCCCTAATCTATCTTATTGCAAAAACCTACTAAATATAGGCAAAGTGCCTCAGTTGTTCTCTTTCAACAATGATGCTTTTGTCACAGTGCTGCCAGATGTGATCATTTGCTTCTTCATTTAAAGTTATGATGGCTTCCTATGCTTATGAGACAAAGCAGGTTTTTCATTCATTCATTCAATTAATATAGTGAATACCTACCATGAGGCTGACACTGAATAAATATTGGTGAATGAAGTATAATATTCTCTATGTTTTTCCTCTACTTAATAATCTAATTCTAATGTAATTCTATGGATTAACTTTTTTCTTCCCAACACACCCTCCCCCCATGTCTATATCTCCCACTGGTTCATTCTTTAAAAGGTATTCTGTACTCCAGCTATTCAGATATATTATACATCCTGCTAAGATATCATGCTATATTATCCTGGTGACTTCTGCTTGTTGAGGGACAATTCTCCATGGATCACTTACATTTTTGCATTTCTTCTGAGCAGAGGCACTCACTGCCTTTCTTCTGGATTATCTTTTCCAGGATGTTTGTATGGCAAGCAGTCTTGGAAGACTGGATAGTGTCTTCCTCTGGAGCAAAGGGCCGGCATGTTTATTGCCTGTTGTAAAAAAAAGTTGGGCTCCATAAGCTTGGGGTTTCTCCCCTGTAATGCAGCCCACTGTATGTGCAAGTGTTACCTGGCCCTTGTTGGGTCACCCGTGGGAACTGGGACCCAGGCATTGGTATAAGAAAGTGCTAACAGTCTGGCTATGATAGCTGTGAGTAGTAAAGATCTTTCTGTTTGATTAAGGAATTTCACGTTTTTTGCCAGCTTCTATGAAACTGTTGCAAGATAATTTGTTAGTTTGCTAATAGGATAAAATCTCAACACTTCACAGTTCTTGACACTATTCATCTTTCAAGATCCAGCTTAAATATTTCCTCTTTGATGAAAACTGTGCTGATTCTTCCAGGAAAACATTTTTGCAGATCTGTGATTTTCCAGAGCATTGCCCTTTAGAGTAATTGACACACCATGTTGTGACTATGCTTTCCAAGTCTGTCTCCTTGATAGATTAATAGCCCTTTAGAATCAGGTACTAAGTCCCAGTTACCTGCATCTATGGAATGCATATTAATATATTCAGTAAATACTGATGAATCAATGGATATAATTTTCTTTCTTTTCCTGATTTCATCCTAGCCATTCTCATCTTCTTTCTAATATCTGAGGTATTGGGGAACTTATTGAAATTTTCCTTTCAAAGCAACATCCTCCTACTTTCATTATGTAACCACTGGAAAAGATGACTTCTATACCCTCTAGCCCAATAGAAATTTCCCCACTCTAGAAATGTGTGCTTGTTTGAATTGCTTCTCCAGTTGTGATATAAGGCCAATTTCCCAAGAATAGAGAAAATAACTTCTTATTGAACATCCTTGGTTCCAATACTTTATATAAAAGTGGCTTTATCTTATTGTGTATTTCCTTGTACCTAATTGATACTCTTTTGTTAAAATGTTTGCATTTTTCTTTTTAAACCTTAAGATGTTATAAACCACAGCTTGACATTAACTGAATGTCTTCTTGACTCTTATTCGTGATCTGGGGCATCACATTGTCATCAGGCTGTTTAGTTGAAACTGTTAGTAACTATTCTGTGAGTTTTCCCCCATCTAGTCTTCTATTATTCAGGCAACATTTTCTACAGTACCGGTTTTTACCTAATTATCTTTTAGAATTTGCCATAAAAAGAGTCAGAAAACCATATGTAGGAGAATGGTGGACAGGGCAATGGAAAGAAACAAGTTTGAGTATTAGTCATGATAGTACAAGCCTATGCTTCGTAGCACACAAACCACCAAATATCACTGGCTTGACTCAGTGGGTCCAGGTGACTCTCCAGGAAAACTTATCTTCCATACAGTAACTTGACATTTGAACCTACTTAGATCTTGAGGCTCTCTTTTCTCCTCATCTTAGTAGAATGTATCAACAGGGGAAGAGTGAATGGAGAGTTCATAACTTCTTCAAATCCCACTGGCCAGAGGTAATCACAGGGCCCCATCAAACTACAAAGGCAGAGAATACTGGTAATCATTACTAATGAGAACAGAAGTAAATTTATCTAAATTTTGAGAGAAAGGGTTCAATCATGTGAAAGTACATCAAGTTTGAGAGGAAATGAATATTAACTAGGTACCTACTGCAGAAGTCCCCCAATTTTTTTTGATTTATGACATCCTCAGAATTCCTAGACCAAAGTAAATAACTGTACTGTTGATTTGAGTGGTTAGGTCCAAACAACTTAAAATGTATTTATATACTAACAACTTAGTAGTTTTTTGAGAAAAAAATAATACACATAGTTGAAGGAAAAAAATTTTTAGTTTTAACCAAGTCACTTACCAACAACATGTGTGGGCCTCTTGGGCACTGCGTACCTCTCAGACATTGAAATAGATTGGATACCACTACCTTCATTTCCTGTTCTACATTGATTTTCATGCTTATTTGCTTTTTGTCCAGCAACCAACAAAACTCAGCTTCACAAAGATATGATGTCACTGAAAGGAATGTAGTATGATCTAATGTTGAAACTGTGAACTACCTGGAGCTAGTAGTTCACACAGTGGCTGACAGATTTCAAATATTGCTGTAGTTTCCTTGAAAATTTAAAATATCCCATACTGCCTCTATAAATGTGCTGCAGTCCCCAGGGGTGCCTCAGTACACAGTTTGGGAACCATGGGCCTATTGTCCTAGGTACTATATATAGATCACTTACTCCTCACAATAGTTTGGAAGGTAGATGTTATTATTGCCAAGTTAAACGAGAAAACTAAGATCTGAAAAGGGCATGAATTTACCCCAAACCTCCTACTTAGTAATTAGCAGAGCAGAGGCTTGAACCCAACCCTTCTGGCTCCATACCCCATTGCATCATGCCGTGTGTCATGGGATTTGCAGGATTAAGGTTTTCACAGCTTCCTCTCCCCATGACCTTCCCTGAGTTTCAAGCAACATTGAAATGACTATTTTTTAAACATGTGGAAGTGCTTGAAGCTCATGGAAATGATTTTAAGTCATGTCTACATTTTTAGTTTTAAGGCACACCTGCTAGAAAATAAATTCTCTTGAGCAGAGATTAAAGAACTTTAAAATGGTCTTAATATAGCCCAAGGAAGATTGTTTAAGCTTTGAAATCAAGACAGTACATTTCTAGTTAACTTGTAATTATTTACTGCTAATTTTTAATATGACATTCAGTATGGACCACATATCACTTTTTTTCTAGCTGTCAGGACAGTCCCTAAACTAAACCTTCTTCACCAGCTGTTGCCTAATTTAATATGGTCCATTTTGGAATTTTTCCAACTCTGCCTGCACATAATTTCTAAGTCTCAACAGACCTGTGCAAAAATGAACCATAACTATAATCTTTCATGTTACTCATAGTTCTATTTAATTATCTGAAATACTACCTGATAAATAGTGCAATCAGAAGAATTCCAGTTTAACAGTAACTACTTCCACATCACTTTTTTGCTGTCATCTAATTTGAAACAGGTTTTGGATTACTGCCTCTAAGTTATGTAAACTACTAATCAATGATTAATTTAAGAATCTTCAGGCTGCTGCCTTTTTTCTTTTTTTATGTGGTTCCTAAGTGTCAATAAATTCAGGCCTAGTCAAATAAAATTTTTTTCTTCTGTAGACTTTTAGACCTTTATTTTCTACTGAGTTTGTTGAGGAGACAAAAGATAGATGGTTAGAACCAAAAAGAGTAAATCTATACAACAGAAAATTGTTTTCAAAGCAAATGTCTCCTAATATAGAATTAAAAGTACATTTGTATTAAATGCCTCTGACACAGATTATGGTTCAGAGAATTATCTGAAGGTAAGTGGAAAAATTGTTCTTCATTTAAAACAAAATTCGTCAGTGAATGGAAAGAGAGTGACGTTTATCGAGTACTCTGTAAATGCCAAGCATTCTCATTTATTATTTTGTTTGAACCTGAGCACGACAGTGGGAGGTCATTGTTATTACCTTCATTTTGCAGATGAGGAAACTGGAAGCTGAGACTTTGAGCAAATCTCCTAAGTTTACAAATGAATATTACTTAGAGCTCACATTCAAACTCAGGTGGGTCTGACATCAACATTGCAACATGGCTTTTGCCCACAAAGGTGTTCTGCCTCTAGATCAAGATATGTGGGGATGGGCTTGTGTCTTTTATGATTCAGAATATGAAAACATGATATTAATTTTTTAATTTATCAAATATTTATTGAGTGCTGCAATATGACTGGCACTTTTCTAGGAGTTAATTGTGCTAATTGTGAATGTTGACATTTATTAAGTTGTATAACTTATTTGCATCTTCTAAAAGTGATTTATTTTTAACTCTTCTGTTGTTTGACATTAGGAATCTCAAGGGATCCCAGTGAGTTGGTGATTATCTACAGTATTGAAAAAATGTTGGACTTGATCCCAAGAGAACTGTGAGTTCGTGTTTGTTTTTCTACTTGGTACTCTGGTAGTCAAGAGTCAATTTCTATGTCCTGGCTCTGTTTTTTCATTTGCATAATGAGAGGAATGAAATGTCTGATCTCTGAGGTTCTTCTGAGTACTGATATTCTAAGCATCCTCAAGTATTATAGGTCATTCACAATGATGCATGTGATGTCTGAAAGAAATGCCTTTGGATTTGTCTTTGGGAAGTATAAGTGAGGTACAGTGAATGAAACCTTTAAAGCACTATGCCAATTGTATTAGTTTTCTATTGCTGTATAATGAAGTAAAACAGATTTTGTGTCTTAGAATAATACGTATTTGTTATCTCACAGTTTCCATGGGTTAGGAGTTTCAGCATGGTTTAGCTGGGTCTTCTGCTCAGGGTCTCACAAGGCTGCAGTCAAGGCTGATTCATTTCTGGGGCTTGGTCTTTTTCTAAGCTCTGGTTGTTGGCAGAATTCCTTTTCTTATGGTTGTAGAATGGAGGTCCCCATTTTCTTTTTGGCTGTCAGCCAGGGGCAGCTCTCAGCTTCTAGAGGTTGCTGGCAGTTTCTTGCTCTGTGGCTCCCTCATAAGCCCTTTCAAAACCTGGAAGCTTACTTCTTCAAGCCAATGGGAAGGAGTCTGTCCCTCCTGTCTGCTAAGACTAAGTCTTATATAACCATACTAGGTTGAATAGTGTCCCCTCAAATTCATGTCTACCTGAAACCTTACAAAGTGACCATATTTAGAAATGGGTCTTTGCAGATATAATTAGTCAAGTTAACATGAGGTCATACTGGAGTAGAGTAGGTCCTAAGCTAATAACTTGTCCTTGCAAGAAAATAGAGGCATACAGACAAACAGAGGGAAGACAGTCATATGGCAGCAGAGCCAAAGATTGGGGTTTGGCTGCTATAAGCCAAGGAACCCTAAGGATTTCTGGTAACCACTGAAGCTAGAAGAGGCAAGAAAAGAGTCCTCCCCGAGAGCCTTCAGAGAGGTCATGGACCTACAGACACCTTGATTGCAGACTTTTAGCCTCCAAAACTGTGAGAAAATACATTTCTGCTATTTGCTGAGCCACCAAATTTGTGGGACTTTATTATGGCAGCCCTAGAAAACTAATACAATAACATTATATAATCACAAGAATAACAATATCACATTACCATTGCTATATAACATAACCAAATCAAGGAAGTGACTGACATTCTATCATCTTTGCTGTTTCTGTTGGTTGGAAGCAAGTCACAAATTCCTCCTACACTGAAGGGGAAAGAATTATACAAGGTAACTCACTGGGATCACCTTAGGATGTACCTGCCACATCAATGCAAGTTTATCTTATTTTGTGAGAATGGACCCTTCTATTATGTAGGAATTGAATTAAGCAGCCCTATCTAACTTTCTTTACTATTTCTAATTATTTTAAAATTATCTGAAAAGATATTTTAATAAAAAGATTCATTGTGACTAATTTTTTTTAATGATGGCTCTTTAAAGTCTACCACTCAATATTTTCTATGCTCTTAATTGTTTTTTTAAAATGGATTTGTTGATACTTTGGCTACAAATTGTTCTGAAGATGAAAGTTAGTCAATCCTTTGAAAGTATAAAAAAGAGAAACAGAGAAATTTATTAGCTAAACACTGCCCTCTTAAAAACATCATTAATGGAGAGGACCTTCAAGATGGCAGAGGAGTAAGATGTGGAGATCACCCTCCTCCCCCAAAATACCTCAAAAATACATCTACATGTGGAACAACTCCTACAGAACACCTACTGAATGCTGGCAGAAGACCTCACACTTCCCAAAAGACAAGAAACTCCCCATGTACCTGGGTAGGGCAAAAGAAAAAAGAAAAACAGTGGCAAAAGAATAGGGATGGGATCTGCACCTCTGGGAGGGAGCTGTGAAGGAGGAAAAGTTTCCACACACTCAGAAGCCCCTTCACTGGTGGAGACAGGGGGTGCACAGGGGGGAAGCTTCAGAGCCACGGAGGAGAGTGCAGCAGCAGGGGTACAGAGGGCAAAGCGGAGAGATTCCTGCACAGACGATCTGTTCCGACCAGCACTCACCAGCCTGAGAGGCTTGTCTGCTCAACCACTGGGGTGGGGTGGGGCTGGGAGCTGAGGCTCGGGCTTTGGAGTTCAGATCCCAGGGAGAGGACTGGGGTTGGCTGTGTGAACGCAGCCTGAAGTGGGCTAGTGCACCACAGCTAGCCTGGAGGGAGTCCGGGAAAAAGGCTGGACCTGCTTAAGAGGCAAGAGACCATTGTTTCGGGGTGAGTGAGGAGAGGGGATTCAGAGCACCGCCTAAACAAGCTCCAGAGATGGGTCAAGCCGTGGCTATCAGCGCGGACACCAGAGACAGGCATGAAACGCTAAGGCTGCTGCTGCGGCCACCAAGAAACCTGTGTGCAAGCACAGGTCACTATCCACACCTCCCCTCCAGGGAGCCTGTGCAGCCTGCCACTGCCAGGGCCCCATGATCCAAGGACAACATCCCCGGGAGAACACACGGCATGCCTCAGGCTGTTACAATGTCACACCAGCCTCCGCCTGCTGCAGGCTCCTTCCCCACGGCGTGAGTGAGCCAGAGCCCCCTAATCAGCTGCTACTTTAACCCCATCCTGTCTGGGTGGGGAACAGATGTCCTCAGGTGACCTACATGCAGAGGCGGGGCCAAATCCAAAGCTGAACCCCAGGAGCTGTGCGAACAAAGAAGAGAAAGGGAAATCTCTCCCAGCAGCCTCAGGAGCAGCAGATTAAATCTCCACAATCAACTTGATGTACTCTGCATCTCTGGAATACCTGAAGAGAAAACAGATCATCCCAAAATTGAGGCAGTGGACTTTGGGAGAAACTGTAGACTTGGAGTTTGCTTTCTGTATCTAATTTGTTTCTGGTTTTATGTTTATTTTAGTTTAGAATTTAGAGCTTCTTGTCATTGATTTGGTTGCTTTCTTTCTTTTTTTTAAATATGTATATATATTTTTTCCTTTTTCTCTTTTTGTGTGTATGTGTACGCTTCTTTGTGTGATTTTTGTCTGTAGAGCTTTGCTTTAACCATTTATCCTAGGGTTCTGTCTGTCTTTTGTTTGTTTGTTTTTAGTATAGGTTTTAGTGCATGTTATCATTGGTGGATTTGTTTATTGCTTTGGTTTCTCTCTTTCTTTTTTTTAATAATTTTAATATTTATTTTAATAACTTTAATTTAATTTAATTTAATTTTCTTCCTTTCTTTCTTTCTTTTTTCCCCTCCCTTTTCTTAGCCATGTGGCTGACAGGGTCTTGGTACTCCAGCTGGGTGTCAGGCCTGAGCCTCTTAGGTACAAGAGCTGAGTTCACAACATTGGTCCACCAGAGACCTCCCGGCCCCACATAATGTCAAATGGTGAAAGCTCTCACAGAAATCTCCATCTCAACACTAAGACCCAGCTCCACTCAATGACCAGCAAACTACAGTGCTGGACACCCCATACCAAACAACTAGCAAGACAGGAACACAACCACACCCATTAGCAGAGAGGCTGCCTAAAATCATAATAACTTGACAGACACCCCAAAACACACCACCAGACACGGTCCTGCACACCAGAAAGACAAGATCCAGCCTCATCCACCAGAACACAGGCACCAGTCCCCTCCACCAGGAAGCCTACACAACCCACTAAACCAAACTTAGCCACTGGGGGCAGACACCAAAAACAATGGGGACTATGAACCTGCAGCCTGCAAAAAGGAGACCCCAAGTGCAGTAAGTTAAGCAAAAAGAGAAGACAGAGAAATATGCAGCAGATGAAAGAGCAAGGTAAAAACCCACCAGACCAAACAAATGAAGAGGAAATAAGCAGTCTACCTGAAAAAGAATTCACAGTAATGATTTAAAGTAAATGATTTAAAGTATCATTCACAATAATGATAGTAAAGATGCTCCAGAATCTTGGGAATAGAATGGAGAAAATACAAGAAACGTTTAACAAGGACCTAGAAGAACTAAAGCACACACAAACAATGATGAACAGTAAATGAAATTTAAAATTCTCTAGAAGGAGTCAGTAGCAGAATAACTGAGGCAGAAGAATGGATAAGTGGAAGATAAAATAGGGGAAATAACTACCACAGAGCAGAATAAAGAAAAAAGAATGAAAAGAATTGAGGACAGTCTCAGACACCTCTGGGACAACATTAAATGCATCAGCATTTGAAATATAGGGGTCCCAGAAGAAGAAGAGAAAAGAAAGGGACTGAGAAAATATTTGAAAAGATTACAGTTGAACTTCCCTAATATGGGAAAGGAAGTAGTCAATCAACTTCAGGAAGTGCAGAGAGTCCCATACAATATAAATCCAAGGAGAAACATGCCAAGACACATACTAATCAAACTATCAAAAATTAAATACAAAGGAAAAATATTAAAAGCAGCAAGGGAAAAGCAACAAATAACACAAGGGAATCCCTATAAGGTTAACAGCTGATTTCTCAGCAAAAACTCGGCAAGCCAGAAGGGTGTGGCAGTACATATTTAAAGTGATGAAAGGGAAAAACCTACAACCAAGATTACCCAGAAAGGATCTCATTCAGATTTGATGGAGAAATTAAAACCTTTACAGACAAGGAAAAGCTAAGAGAATTCAGCACTACTAAACCAGCTTTACAACAAATGCTAAAGGAACTTCTCTAGGCAGGAAACACAAGACAAGGAAAAGACCTACAGAAACAAACCCAAAACAATTAAGAAAATGGTAATAGGAACATACATATTGGTAATTACCTTAAATGTAAATGAATTAAATGATCCAACCAAAAGACATAGACTGGCTGAATGGATACAAAAACAAGACCCCTATATATGCTGTCTACAAGAGACCCACTTCAGACCTAGGGACACATACAGACAAAGTGAGGGGATGGAAAAAGATATTCCATGCAAATGGAAATCAAAAGAAAGGTGAAGTAGCAATTCTCATGTCAGACAAAATAGACTTTAAAATAAAGACTA